ACTTGCTTAACCTAGAGAAAGACATGGATACAAAGATACAAGAAGCTAACAGAAGACCAAACAGACTGGACCAAAAAAGAAGTTCCCTCACCACATAATAATCAAAACACTAAACATACAGAATAAAGAAAGAATATTAAGAGCTATAATGGAAAAAGATCAAGTAGCAAATGAAGGCAGACATATCAAAATTATACCTGAGTTACCAAGGAAGCAATGAAAGCCAGAAGGTCCTAGTCAAGCAATATGCAGACATTAAGAGATCATGGATGCCATCCCAGAGTACTATACCCAACAAAACTTTCAATCACCATAGATGGTCAAAAGAAGATATTCTAAGACAAACCAGATTTATCGAATACCTTGCCACAAATCCAGCCCTACTCAAGTACTAGAATAATCTCCAACCCAAGTAAGTTAGCTACATACACAAAAACACAGACAACAGATGATCGCAGAGCAACAAATCCCAAAGAAGGAAAAACACACATGATAACATCTGTAACAATGAAAACTAAAGTAACAGGAGATAGCAATCACTGGTCATTAATATCCCTTAATATAAATGAGCTCAATTCACCTATAAAAAATGCAGGCTAACAGATTAGATACAAAAACAGAATCCATGCTTCTGTTGCATACAAGAAATATACCTCAATGTTAAAGACAGACATCACCTCAGAGTAAAGGGTTGGGAAAACAAATTCCAATCAAATGGACCTAAGAAACAAGCTGGTATAGCTATCCTAATATCTAACAAAATAGACTTCAAACTAAACTCAATCAAAAAAGAAAATGAAGGACATTTCAAATTAGTCACAGGAAAAATTTAAGAGGAAATCTCAATACTGAACAGCTATGCCCCAAATGCAAGGGCACCCTCATATGTAAAAGGCACACTACTAAAGCTTAAATCACACATTAAACTACACCCTCTAATAGTGGGAGACATCAATACCCCACTCTCACCACTGGATTGGTCTGCCAGACAGAAACTTAACAGAGAAATAAGGAAATTAAAAGATGTTATGACTCAAATAGACTTAACGGATATATACCATTCCATCCAAATATAAAAGAATATAGCTTCTTCTCAGCTCCTCATGGAACCCTCTCAAAAGTTACCACGTACTGAGTAACAAAAGCAACCCTCAATAGATACAAAAAAATTGGAATAACCCTATGTATCTCATCAGATCATCATGGCTTAAAATTAGAATTCAACAGCAAAACAAATTTCAGAAAGCCCACAAACACATGGAAATTAAACAATGCTCACCTGATTCATCAATGGGTCAAAGAAGATATTAAAGACTTCCTAAAATCCAACAAAATAGAAACAAAGAAAACAATACAAAGAATCAATGAAACCTAGAGTTTGTTCTTCAAGAAAATCAACAATATATACACACCTTATCCAAACTAACCGAAAGGGAGATAGAGACTATCCAAATTAACAAAATCAGAAATGAAAAAGGGGAAATAACAACATACATGGAGGAAATACAGAGAATCATCAGGTCATATTTCAAAAATCTGTACTCCACAAAATTGGAAAACTTAAAGGAAATGGACAACTTTCTGGATAAATATCACTTACCAAAATTAAATCAAGACCAGATAAGCATATTAAATATACCTATAACTGCTGAAGAAACAGTCATCAAAAGTCTTTCAACCAAAAAAAGCCTAGGAACAGATGTTTAAGGCTCGGAAATCTACAAGATTTTCAAAGAACAACTAATACCAATACTCCACAAATTGTGCCACAAAATTGAAATAGAAGGAACAATGCGAAACTCTTTTCATGAGGCTACAATTACCTTGATACCATTACTAAGAGAGAAAATTACAGACCAATCTCATTCATAAACATTGATGCAGAGACACTCAATAAAATGCTGGCAAACCAAATCCAAGAACTCATCAGAAAAATCATCGACCATGACCAAGTAGGCCTCTCCCCAGAGATGCAGGGATGGTTCAATATATGAAAATATGTCAATGTCATTGACTATATAAACAAACTGAAAAAGAAAACACATGATTGTTGTCAGGGTTTCTGTCCTGCCTGGTCCTCCAGCTGTTTAGTCACAAGTAATCACACAGAGGTATATATATAATAAGTTTAACTATATAAACTTATTGGCCTATTAGCTCAGGCTTCTTATTAACTCTTTAAACCACATTCAAATGCTTTTTGGCCACCTCTTGCCTGTAAGAGTCAGAATTTGCACTGGCAGGATGGCCCAAAAAGCCAGCACTTTAAAACGGTGCGGCTTTTTTCCTGCTGCAGCTGAAAACCAAAAAGCATGCAGTCAGCTTTCCATCAACACCATTTAAGTGTTTTGTGGCAGGGCCTCTTAAAAGAACTGCAAGGTTTTAGATCTTAAGATGATTCAGAAAGCCTCCCTTAAATGAGATGCAGTTTCCTCTAGCAAAGAGCCCACCTGAGAAAATGCTGTTATCAATAAGCTGTGCCAAACTCTATTCTTTTTTGTCTAGAATTACTTCACAAGCTCTCCCAAGCTTTATGTGGGTGCAATTGTCCACATGGGTGCCAAAAGAAGAAGGATGCTTAATAGAAATCCCACACTAGCTCAGAATTGAGAGATAGATGGTTATTTATTTGGGGGTGACTCACAAATCAGAATCCTCTGCTGAAATGAAGATCAGAAAATGAAATCCGCAACTAGGACAGAGAGGCTGGGAAAGAGGCCGGAAGCAGGGTCTGCATCATCATAAATAGTATAAGAGGCCACCGCCCAGTAGGCGGGTAGCCACTAGTTGTAAGACTTCCTACAGCACCTGATCATCTCATTAGATGTTGAAAAAGCCTTTGACAAATTACAACATCCCTTCATGATAACGGACATGGAGAGAGTAGGGATACAAGAAACATACCTAATATAACAAAGGCAATATACAGCAAGTCAACAGCCTACATCAAACTAAATGGAGAAAAACTCAAAACAATCCCACTGAAATCAGGAACAAGACAAGGTTGTCCTCTCTCTCCATTTCCATTCAATATAGTTCTTGAAGTTCTAGTTAGAACAATAAGGCAAAAAATGAGATCAAGGGAATACAAATCAGATAAGAAGAAATCAAACTCTCACTTTTTGCTGATGATGCAATAGTTTACATAAGTGACCCAAAAGTTCTACCAAGAAGCTTTTACAACTCATAAATACCTTCAGTGATGTAGCAGGATACAAGATTAACTCAAAAAGAATCAGTAGCCCTCCTTTATACAGATGATAAATAGACTAAGAAAGAAACCAGAAAAACATCACCCTTCATAATAGCCACAAATAACAAAAAATATCTTGGTGTAATTCTAACAAAACAAGTAAAAAACCTGTAATCTGCTGGAAGGTTTACAGCTAGTAACTACCCGCCTACAGGGGGTTGGCCTCATAGACTATTTCTCTGGATGCGGAAGCACTTCCGTCCCATTCTCGCATCCCCCTAGATCCTGCTTGGCTGGTAGGATTGTTTTTGGATGGTATTGTAAGTCCCCCCCCCGCCTCCGGCAGGTAAATAATGGTCTAACTTTCAATTCTGAGCCAGTGTGAGATGTCTTTTAAGCACCTGATTTCTCCGCCCATCACCTTTATGACAAGAACCTTAAGTCTTTGAAGAAAGAAATTGAAGAAGACACCAGAAAGTGGAAAGATCTCCCATGCTCTTGGGTAGGTAGAATTAACATAATAAAAATGGCAATCTTACCAAAAGCAATTTACAAATTTAATGCGAAGCCCATTAAAATCCCAGAAAAATCTTCACAGACCTTGAAAGAACAATACTCAACTTCTTATGGAAAAGCAAAAAACCCAGGATAGGCAAAACAATTCTATACAATAAAAGAACTTCTGGAGGCATCACAATCCCTGACTTCAAACTCTACTACAGAGCTACAGTACTGAAAAAAAGCCTGGTATTGACATAAAAACAGACAGGAGGACCAATGGAACTGAGTCGAGGACTGGACATCAATCTATCCACCTACAAACACCTGATTTTTGACAAAGAAGCAATAAATGAATGAATGAATAAATAAATAAATAAAATGGAGAAAAGAAAGCATATCTCAGACTAGAAAAAAAGAAAAGAAAAAAGGCCTTGAGTTCCCTTCTAAATCCATGAATTACATTACGGCAAAAGGGACTTTGTGTCCCACTATGACTGTATGAACTCATTATGTCAACTCCTTTTTAGTGGGCCTCACCTGTTAACGTAAGTACTACATCCTGATAATACCATGGGCTGATAAATGGTCTGTTGGGATACATTTCAAATGAAATTATAGCAGTGTTTGAGGGAAATATCTCAAGGTAAGTAGGTATACACTGTGACTTCTTTTTTTAAATACAGTGATTCCAAGTAAATCCCCAAGAGACCTCCTAAATTTTATTTTAAAGAGAACACACACATCAGTCATGAATGCATGTTTACAATCGAGACTCTGTCATAAGATTGTCATTATTGCATTTAGGACAAATATTTTCTTTTAAAGAGCCACAAACTGGAAGCCCTTGGGTTGTCATTAGATGGACATCCATCAGGTGTGGATCTAAGATATGAAAGAATACTGATATTTGGGAATATTTGAGTTTACTTTAATATCTGTATGTCCCTGCTCCTCTCAAATAAGTATTTCTAGGTTTTGAAACCTGTAGAGTTCAGCCATGTTGGCATTAGGCTTTACATTTTTCAACAAACTTGGAACCATTGGTTTGGGCAGAATCTGTGCTTTCCAGTTCAGTGCAAATCCCATAAAATACTGCCCACCGCTTGTTCTTGGCAGGTATGTTTATTTGCAATTGTGTTTGTTCCAAACCACCTGGGCTTTTATAAACTTGTAATACAATGAAAAAGAAATTAATTTTTAAAATAAATATTGAAAGAGTGTGCTGGTAGCTCTTCACATTCTTCAAGGTTCTTTTATTCTCCTCAGTTCCTCAGACAACCATGACTGAAGTCCTAGAAGCCAGAAGGTCTGAGTCTCAGGAAAGGCAGGCATAAGGAAGACCTACGGGATGTCTCGATAGGAGCTGAGAGAAAAGAGAGAGGCCATTAGGAAAGAAAAGGAAGTAACAAAGCAGAGATGTTGAGAAAAGAACACATGACAGGGGAGACTTACCGGTGCTTCTTGGTGTAGATCACATAACACCCAGCACATATTAGTACTAGTCCTACTAGTACTGCTGCGATAATAATACCCATGGGTGAATGTCTGCCACCTGCTTTGGAAGAATGCAAGGTATCACTAAACAAAGAACCCAGACCTATTTCAAGTTCCCTATTCTAAGCACATGTGAGGAAGCCATACCATTGTTTTTTTTTTTTAATTTAAACTCTATTCTTTTAGTCTTCATGAGTTTAGACTGACCATCTATTGTCAGGATTTGACTGTATGCTCTCCAAACAGATGTGAATCTGTTTACCCCAGCTCTTGAATTTTCAGAATGACTTTACCTTATCTTAGCAATGACCTCTTTATATATAAAGTCAGAATAGCACTATTTGCTTCAAAACTAAGTGATGAACTGATATGTTGGTAACAGAGTGGTCAGTGCTCACAGAGGAGGCATCAATAACCTACAGCTATGCCTTGGGCTTGGATCCTCTATCCTGGGGTGTGTATCTTCATGAACTTCTTTATCTACCCTTATGCCTCTGGGTCTTCTGAGTTTCTTGGTCTACATTCCTCTCACATATATAGAACATCTTAACTCAAATTTACTGGGATTGATTTCTGTATCTAGAATTCTCCTTTTTTCTCTCTCCTATAATAGTTAGGGGTTTCATATCTGAAACTCAGTTTATTTAGTTCTCATTCCAAGCTTGAATGGTACCTCTACTTGCTCTCACCCAGGATACAGGTTTTTTTTTTTTTCTTACGTGAACGGCAGATTTTATTCTGTCCTCCTAGACTGCTATGTTTCACGCAGCAGGCCAGGCCAGCCTCCTTTCCAGCCTCCACATCCAGGGTTGCTTGGAGATACCATGTCTCATCAGCATTGGGCAGGTAGTCACTTGTCTGAGTACTATTTTGCTCCTGCTCACCCTGCATCCACATCACCCACACAGGCTTTGGGTAGAAGCCAGAGACATGACACACCAACTGTAGATGACCATGTTTAGGACTGAGGCCACTGGACAACCAGACCTCAGGCTTCTCTGTACCCAGAAAGAGAATAAAAATATTTTAAAGCAAAAACATTTATATTAGAGGCTCCAGAATTCCTATTAAGTTTACACTTTCCACAGGTCCCCTTCTGGAGATGATGTTGCCCATTAGTTTAAATCCATTTGTATCACTGTGACTAGGGAAACGGTCTGTGATCCTTTCACCCCTTCCTTGATCCAAGTGTTTCAGGAACAGTCCTCCTCTGTACTCTAGAACACCCTGAGTTCAGCTGATATAGCATGTCTCAAATACCAGTTGGCTCAGTTCTGATCCCCAGTGTTCATTTAACTCAATAAGAGTGAGTGCCAGTGACAAGAATAAACCCCACATGTCTTATTCACCTCCTTCTAGGCCTTGCCCTTCCTCTAAAGTTTACAGAGATGAAAAAACATAGGGAGAGCCGGGGTGAGGCAAGCAGGCTGACCTTGTTTCTCTAGCTCTGCCTTCCCTGCCTCCAAGAGGCCATGGACAAACTTGGGGCAGATGTCATACAGAAGCCATTGTGCTGTTTCCGTTGTCCCTTGATCACCATTGAGCACTTTAATAACCAACTCTGTCCAAGGTGGGGCATCTGGGGCCTTCTGAAAGGAAGTTCCCTGAAAACTCAGGATATATTCTCCTTGAAATGCTACATAGAAAAAGCTTTCTGAAGCATTCTCAGAGTACACGTCACACCCAGCAGACATCTGGATCTCAACAGGATCTGTAAAGGGGAGTGTGTAGAGATTCAAGAATGGTTAAAGTTTGGAAGAAAGGAGAAGAAATTGACATGGAGATAATAGTTATGTCCCAGTTGAGGGAAATGATTGCTGGGTCCTGGAGCAGAGACAGGGATTATTTTCAGAAGAGACAAGGATCCCTCTAGACAGAAGTGAAAATCTTAAGGGTGGAGAAAAAAAGAGAATCTCATCAAGTAGGCCCACAGTTATCCAGTTGGGGTCTGGGGTTCTCTCTCATCCACTAGGTACCTTTTCAGGACTCCATCCCTCCACTCACAGTGTATATTAGGCATCATTTTGACAAATTCCTGTACGTCCCTGGTAAAGCTTAATCGATAAATTCGAAATATCCGCTGCAATTGCTCCCACTGTTGGTCACTGAATTTGCCCTGGGACCAGGGCTTCACGAAGTCAATGGTGTCCGAGGCCTTACTCCACCGATGAGTTTGCAGATCCCCCAGCCAGGCCAAGCCATCTGTGCTTGAGTTACTACTGTTTGGGAAGGAAGAGATCTGCAGGCAGCGGAAGGGGAAATTCTTTTGCTGGGCTGGAAAGAATGAAAACCGAATGATCACAGTAAGTGTCCAATTCAGCAGGCAGGTTGTTAGGAAAAAGCCTTAATGGGCTTTCAAAGGGAGAGTAGGGTTCAAAACAGCATTTAGGTCTTAGCCAGATCAGCATACTTTCTTCCCACCAGTGCACTTCAAGCCAGCCAGGGTCCACCTCCACCCACACAGGACCACAGCTCTGCTAGCCTCACGCTCTCTTCCTCCTTCTCCAGACCATTCTGTGCGCCCTTCTACTCACCTTCTGATTGTACCCAGACCCACGCGAACACCCAAAACAACAGGCACGATACGTTCCACATGGCGCCAGAGGTTTATACAGCCCTAGGCTTCGACTTCTGCCCCTTTCTTTTCACACTGCTTGAGGAGAACAGCTCTGGGTTTTTGGCAAAGCGACCGCCCAATGCGGAAGAGCAGGCTCTGGCAAATGAATTATTCTTTTACAAAGTCACCCCCTAGTGGTTGAGTTTGGGAATACAGCTTTAATCAGCACCTCTGAGAGCAATCAACTTCTCTCAACCTTCTTTCCCATGCATTAAGAAAGAGGTTGAGACCGGTTTGCCATCTAAATGTTAAAAGTGAGACAAAACGTCGTAATTTTATTAAAACTTCGTTGATATTAAAAATGCAATGGAGGAAAGGAGAAAAGTTTCGACCTGGCTAGCAGTGATTATCTGCAGGTGCTACTTTGTTTTACACTTCTGACTCCTTCCAGATCTCCACACGTTTGGAATAAATAAGGATAGACATGATTCTCACATCGGTACACTGAGAGGTTAAGATTGGGTGGGCTAAGTTCCTTCACAGCATTCCTATCCCCAAATCTCCTGTATCAGGGGTCCACAGACACTTTCCCCCTAACCTGATCTGTTCTCTGTCTTCCTGCCTCCCTTTCAGGAGAGTACAGGTGTGTTTTATTTTATTGCACTATATCATGGTTTGTGCAAATTGAAGACTTGTGGCAATCCGATCTGAAGAAAAGCTAAGAGTGACAAGATGTGCACACTCTTTGGGCCATAGCACAGGGGAAACAAGCAGGATATCTGCAATCAAGAATCTTTCCTCCAGCACTCGGGAGGCAGAGGCAGGCGGATCTCTGTGAGTTCGAGACCAGCCTGGTCTACAGAGCTAGTTCCAGGACAGGCTCCAAAACCACAGAGAAACCCTGTCTCGAAAAACCAAAAAAAAAAAAAAAAAAAAAAAAAAGAATCTTTCCTTCAGGTTCCCTGCCCTCTGGCCAACCCTGCCTACTGGCTTCTTCCTCTGCCTTCCCACCCACTCTCAATCTTCTCAAGTTAGTGAGAATGGAGGTAGGATTACAAGGTGTGTCCAGGATTTGGTCATTCCCTATTTCTCACACTGGAAAGAAGCAGTGACAAAATAGTTACTCAGAACTGTGAGTTACCCCAAGAAAGAAGTCATCACTGGTAAAGCAGACTACCTCAGCCACCGGATACCGTCTTCCTCGTTCCTTTTTATTTTCTCCTTCATCAGCTTGCTCTGTCTTTTCGTCCTGTCTCTTAAGTGGGTCCTCTTCTCTACATCTCCACCTTCATTGTCACCCTAACCTTCTGTATGGAAACAGCCTTCCTGGGAAGAAAAAGTCATCATCAGGATGGCCTAGAGGAGCATCCTGGCCCTGCTCTGGTCTGCCTTTGAGTGTCATCTGGAACCTACTCTCAGCCTCACATGATCCAGTGTCTTAGATGCAGCTTCTTCCTGACTAAGGTCTCTGCACAAATAGGTATCTTAGGGAACTCATGCTTCCGAGCCCATGGCTAGCTGTTTCCACTAGACCAAACCCCAATGCTGTTTTTTCAGAAGAGCCTTCTCAAGCTTCCCAGGTGGTGTGAGCGAAAGCAGGAGAGCTAGAAAGCCCCATCTCCACACCCTGCACAGAGGCTAGCTTTATGGACCTTTCTTCCTAACACATAGGCCTTGTAATTACAGAAGTGTTAGTTCATCTGCTTCTTTGTTCTTTCTATAATCACCGGTAGGGATATCAGATCAAAAAGGTCACATCTTCTGACCACGACTCCTTCCATTCTGCCTTCATTAATTTTATTCCTGCTATGTCGCATTGTTAAAGAGTCCTGGAGGATAGGTTTTCCCTTCTACGCTGGGATCTTGGGGTGGGCTGTTGGACCCGTGGGTCCAACACAGTGGCTCTAATCAGCTAGACCTTATTTTACTGGATATTGCTCCCAAAACAGTCTGAAATGACACTGAAAAGTTTTGTTAACAAATAGACCGTTACTTGGGTGTGGTGGTACATGCTTGTAATCCCAGCACTTGGGAGATAGAAACAGGCAACTCTCTGCTGCAGTTCCTGCTCCCCCAGTGATGTAAATTTAAACAAACCCTTTCCTCTCTAAGCTACATTTGACCATACTGCTTTAATCTCAGAAGTGGAAACGTTAAGACAGCTTGTCATAGTCCCTTTTCACCTTCCTAGTTTCAGCGGTTATTCTGGGTTGTATTCTCACATCTGGAGTTTGGAAGCTTTGAAATAGAGGAGCAAGAACATGCAGACTTTTGGGATCTGATTTACCTCACTGAATACAATGCTTTCTATGTCCATCCATTTACCTGCATATGTCACGATTTCATTTTTTTCAATACAGAATAGCATTTTATAGTGTTAATGTCCCACATCTCCATTATCCCTTGTCAGTTGAAAATCATTTAGGTTGTTTCCATTTCCTAGTTATTATGAAGAGCAACAAACATGTCTGAGGAAATATCAGTGGGGTAGGATGTCACGTCCTCTGAGCATATGCCAAGCAGTGGCATAGCTGGGCCATGTGCTGCATTCATTTTTAGCCTCTTGAGGATTCTCCAAGCTGTTCTAGAGTGAATGCACCAGTTTACAACCCCCTCCAGGAGTGAATGAGGCTCCCATCCCTCACATTTTCTCCAGCTGTGTGTGTGTGTGTGTGTGTGTGTGTGTGTGTGTGTGTGACCTTTGCCTTTAACCCGGGGTGAGATGAAATCTCAAAGTTGTTTCTATTTGCTTTTCCCTAATTGCTAAGGAGGATGAACATTTGCCACAATATTAGCCATTCTTATATCTCTGTCTGAGAATTCTTCTTCTGGGTCTTTAATGTTTTGACTTTTTTTTTTTTGTATTCTTTTGCTGTTAACGCTCTATCAAATGAATAGCTGGAAAGATTCTCCCCGAATCCACTGGCCTCCTCTTTACTCAATTGTTGTTTTTCTTTTTTTGTTTTTTTGATTGGGCAGAAGCCTTTGGTTTTATAAGGATCCCACTGGTCATTGTTGGTTAATTCCTGGGCATTGGAGCTCTATTTAGAAGGCCCTTTCCTACACCTCCATCCTGTAGTCTTGCCTTTGTAGTCTTCCAGGAGTTTCAGTGTTCAGGTTTTACCCTGAGGTCTGGGGTGCATTTGAAGTGAGCTTTTGCGCAAGATGGTAGACGTGGGTCTTATTTCATTCTTCTACATGTAGACATTCAGATTTTCCAGAATTGATGAGGGTGCTGCCTTTCTCCAGTGTGTGTTTCTGGCATCTTTGTCAATTATCAGAAGGCTGTAATTTGTGTATACTCATGTTTGGGTCTTCTTTTTTGTTTAATTGATCTATATGCCTATTTCTGTGCCAGTTCCATTCTGTTTTATTACTTTGGCTCTGTAATATGTTTTGAAATCTAGAATGGTAATTGCTCCCTCATTTTTGGTTTTGCTGTTGTGTTGTTTTGTTTTTGTCAAGGATTACTTTGGTTATCAGGTTTTTTTTTTTTTGGTGGTTCCATATGAATTTCAGTTTCTTTGGGTAAATGAGATGGGAATTTTTATGCAGATGGCAATAGACCTTTAATAGGTTTGGGTAGGGTGATCATTTTTACAGCACTAGGCCTATTCATCCTTGAGCATGAGATATGATGTTCCAGTGCCTCGGCCAATGTCTTTCTCAACCTCTTTCTCCAGAGATTTAATACAGACATCTTTTATCTCCTTACTTACGTTTATTCGTAGATATTTCATTGTCTGTGAGACTATTGTGAATTGTAGTATGTCTGTGATATCTTTCTCAGCAAGTTAATTGTTGGCATATAGAAAAGCTATTAATTTTGATAAGTTTATTTTGTATTTTGCCACCTTGCTGAAATTGTTGATCATTTCTAGAAGGTGCTCTTTGATGGAATTTTTGGAATATCATATCATCTGCAAACGGGGTTGTTTTACTTCTTTTCCTATTTCTACCCCTTTACCTTCCTTCTCTTGCCTTATTGCTCCAGCTTTGTGCTTCAGATACTGTATTGAAGAGGAGTCGGGATGTGGGCAGCCTTGTTTCATTCCTGATCTTAATGGTATTGCCTTGAATTTCTCCCCTTTAGGATGTTGAGTGTGGGTTTGTCATATTTAGTCTTTATGATATTGAGGTATATTCCCTCCTGCTCTCTCTAGCCCTTTATCATGAACGCATGTTGAATTTTGTCAAAAACATTTTCTGCATCTACTGAAATGACCATGTGATTTTTGTCATTAAATCCATTTGTGTGACTTATTACACTGATAGTGATTTTCATGTGTTAAACTGTCTCTGAATGTCTGTGATAAATTCAACTTGGTCTTGGTAGATAATATTTCTTTTATTTGCCTGTATTCAGTTTGCTATGATTTTATTAAGGATAGCTAGTGCTATTACACAGAGAAACCTTGTCTGAAAAATCAAAATAAAATAATAATAATTTAAGTAGAATTGGATATAGATCTTCTATGTAAGTCTGTCAGAATTATGCTATGAATCTACCTTGACATGAGATTTTCTCTTTTATTTGGAAGACTTTTTATTACTGTTTCAATCTCCTCATTTATTATGGGTATGTTTAGGTTATTAACCTTTTTTTGGTTTAACTTTGCTGGTTTGGATGAATGTAGAAATATATCCATTTATTTTAGATTTTCCAAAATAATGGAGTGCATGGTGTTAAAGTATTCCCACGTATATTCTGAATTTCTTTTATGCCATTGTGTCTTGGTTTATTTCTGATTCTGCTAATTTGGGTCGTCTTTTTCTTTGGACTAGTTGGGCCAAGGTTCTGTTGATTTTCTTGTTTATTATCTTGAGGATCTTCTCTTAGATCCACTGATTCTTTTATTGTTCTCTTTGCTTCTATATCTGCTTTGATATTTATTTCTTGCTATCTAATGTACTTTGGATTGGTTTATTCTTATTTTTCCAGGTTTTTGGGTTGTGTCAGTAAGTCTTTTTTTGCTCTTTCTGATATATTTTAAAATAGGACAGAGGGGTTTTTTTGCTGTATTTTCATTTTTGTTTAGTTCCAGGATATTTTTCTTTTCTTATTTTTTCTATTTTCTATTCATCATTCAGTGATGCATTGTTTAATCTCCATTAATTTGTGTACTTATTAGAGACTTGTTT